TGTGATGAACGAGATGTTTCAAAGACATGTGTTGCTCCCTAGCAAGAGGTCTTGTTCCACGAATCATGCATGGAATTTGCAAGAAAAGTTGTAAAAACGGAGCCGAACGATTCGAGAGATGCAACGATAATTCCTTTCTCTATCACCATTCGTTTCTTCTTTCTTCCTTCCTTTCGCTCGAATCTTCTCGGCTTGTTCGTTCTCAGCGACTTTAACAACGTCGATTGTGACTGTTCGATTTCCATATATATATATACTAGATGAAAAGGAAACGAACCAGTTTGAAGAAACTATCGGTCAGAGATGGACTGTCTCGGTTTGCAAGTGGTGAGCTTCAAATGGGGAAGACACTCGTAAATCTATTCAAAAGCTTGCAACTTCTTAGAAACGGTACCACGATACTCGTTTCTCTTTGTTTCGCCGCGTGTATTAAACGAAACTTGCTTAAAAAGTTGCAGCCTTCATTTTGAGATTAACAAGAAAAAAGCAACTCGAACGATAATTATTCAGTTCGAAAGAAATGATGAAACTTCTTTTCTTTTCAATTAAATATGTACATCTACGTTGAAGCTGGCCCTGTGTTTATGATGACAAAATATTGAACAACGATTGAGGGGAATATAAATTTAACTTTAAATCAAGTTTATCTATTCATTGTTTGAAATAATGTAATTTCTCATTAAATATTGTTGAAAAATGTATTAATCATTAGGAAATCTTGGAAAGAATTATCTTTCTGCTAATGCGTCTTTTAGTAATGTAATCTTTTATTCATCTTTCTATTAATACTATATAACTTCTGAGCTTTTAATCTTTTTACTTTCCCGAGAATCTCAATCAATTTTTATGTATTATTCGATCCTACGAACTTTTATCGACTGTTCTTTTTTATCTAAAATTTAGCACTTTCACCAAACTTCTTCAGAAACAAAATTCCGCTCCTGCATTTCTGTTCTGTTCCTAGTATATTCTCAATCCTTGAAAGAATTCTTTGCTTTTCAAAAGACTTTTTGCTTCTTTTAAGAAAGAAAAAAGGAGAAATTTACAAAAAAGTGGAGCTAATTGATTTAGCTCCTCTGAGCGATTGTACAAGGTGATTCAAAAGTTATATGTCGCGAGTTTGACAGATCGATGGAGATATCTCAAAATTGGTCTTAACCTCAAAGTTTAAGGTCAATTTTTTTCGTTGTATTTTATAACATTCTTCAGGAGAGATAAAAGTTCAGTTTCAAAGAAAATATGGAAAGTAAAGAAACTGGAAAAATAATTTCCGAGTCTTACGATATTTAAGTTTTCTTTATTTATAAGGTTATTTAAAGAATAACTACTTCAAACTACTTTAATAAAAAAAGTATTAATAAGAACAAAGAGTAAAGGGCACTAATTTAAGTGTTAAATATTTAAATACTTAAAAGTTTTCTTACTTATATTATTACTTATATTTAATACTTATTATTTACTTATATTTAAATACTTAAAGATTCTCTTACTTATATTATTACTTATATTTAATACTTATTACTTACTTATATTTAAATACTTAAAGGTTCTCTTACTTATATTATTACTTATATTTAATACTTATTATTTACTTATATCTAAATACTTAAAGGTCCTCTTACTTGTATTAATACTTATATTTAATACTTATTACTTACTTATATCTAAATATTTAAAGGTCCTCTTACTTATATTAATACTTATATTTAATACTTATTACTTACTTATATTTAAATACTTAAAGATTCTCTTACTTATATTATTACTTATATTTATTTAATACTTATTATTTACTTATATCTAAATACTTAAAAGTCCTCTTACTTATATTAATACTTATATTTAATACTTATTACTTACTTATATTTAAATACTTAAAGATTCTCTTACTTATATTATTACTTATATTTATTTAATACTTATTATTTACTTATATCTAAATACTTAAAAGTCCTCTTACTTATATTAATACTTATATTTAATACTTATTACTTACTTATATTTAAATACTTAAAGATTCTCTTACTTATATTATTACTTATATATATTTAATACTCATTACTTACTTATATTTAATACTTATTATTTACTTATATTTAAATACTTAAAAGGTCCTCTTACTTATATAATTACTTATATTTAATACTTATTGCTTACTTATATTTAAATACTCAAAGGTTCTCTTTATTTACAGAACGATATATTTTAAAAAAGAACCTCGAACTCCGCATCAAATGCTGCATGATGAAGCCACTGAACGATGAAGAATGAAATTATTACTTAGCTTGCGATATAATAAAAAGCAAAGAAAAATCCCAAATCGACAAGAAGGAAAAAAAATATCTAGAGATGTCCAATGATCTGGCCGAAATTTAAAAAAAAAAAACCGAACGTACCGAACTATAAATCGCGTTTCGAGCATTTCGTAATTTCAAAAACAATTAGCAAACAGGTTAACTGAAATGAAACAGCACATCGTCATGCATGATATAGTTAATGGAGCATCTTTGTCAGGGTGTAACCTGATATGTAACGCGAGAGCGTCAATATTGAAAATACGATGCACTTGTTAACAGGATAATAAATTCTGTCGGTGATATGGCACCTTGTTGGGGCATCCCTGCTTGAATCTCTAACCCATTACACGTAGATTTTCGCGAGCTCATATTCTTGACGCTTTGCTGATTCAGGACGCTTCTACGCGAAAAATGCATTCGTCCGTGAACATGTCACTTTGCAGAAAGTGTCTCTGCACAATTTATTAATACCCGCAGGACAATATCCGATATTGGATCCAATATTTCTTCACAATTTATTTAATGCTCAACAGCGAGAGGATTTCAACGAGCAATGGTTCATTTGCAGTAGCAGCTGATGCGTTTTATAAAGACGTAGACAGGCCTTTTTTTTTTTTTTTCGTTGATTATTTGTCCGGCTATATTATGTGCAATTCTAACCTGACAGGGAGTACCACGCAAACCCATTAACGGATAAGCACGAACAAGAGCGATGACTCGTTCTTCCTTGAGCTAATGGACTCCACTCTTCGTTATTTTTAACACTGATCTCGAAACTGACTGTCCAAATCGCATCGATCTTCTGTATATTTTTTACTTTATATCGCCAGCTAAACAATAATCTCTCTCTTCGTCGTTAACAGGACTTGCGCATAACTCAAACATTTAAAGGATGATTTATTCTATGAAAATGATCATTCCGCGAATAAGCATTCGATAAATAAAGAAAACTCAATTGATCATAAGACCATTTGTTACGACATTTCGTAACAGAATGGAATCATAGTTCCTTTAGAATTTGCGATGAATGATTCGATAAAAAAAAATTTTGACCTTGAAATTTAAAGTCCCAAAGACAAGTTTATGGTAGGTGTCCATTTTTAGTAGAATACTTCTGTCAAACTTCTGTCGTGATCTAGATTACGGATGTCCGTGCAAAAATATTTTGCATGTTGCATACGTTTCTTCAATTAAAAAGCATATTGATTTCATCATACTTAATTACCATTTTAGACGACTATGTATATAATTTAAAAAATCAATACAAACCAAGTCATCGGTATCATAATGGCATTAAAATACACTCACAGATAAAAATATACTCACGTGAAACTTTTTTAGCATTTTAATAGTCACAAGTTAACATTAACTAATAAATCTCAATATCTGAGTGTGAAATATGAAAAAGCCAGAATAATTTGTATATAATAATATATAATAATAATAATTTATATAAGTTTTATAATTATATATATATATATATTATTGAGTTAATATGTATTGTTATTGAATCCAATTTATATTGTTACTCAGTATATTGAATTTCAAATAGCATTAAATAACATATTACTCAAAAATTTTATATACTTCTCATAGATATTTGCCATGCATATTTACACATTTTATGAATATAAATTTCATTAATTTCACTTTTTTGCTTGTTTTACGTATGTAAACATCCGCAGTCTAATAAGGACACATAATTTTTGAACATTCTCTGGAAATTAAACAGCATTACTTATGGTATTTCAATTCGAAAATGATTGCTACACCCGAAGAAGAAAATTCGGTCACTGGAAATTACGATAACGCGAAAGATAAACAATCTAACATCCAGCTACATTTATCTTCGCAGCAATTAGAATAGTGATTAATGGCGCGTAATTGAGTTGCAGTTAACTATTTTATTCCGTACGCGTTGAAATGTTTTTCAGTTTAATTGTTTCTGATGAACTGCGATGTTTTAATGCAAAAGATATTTTATAAATGAAAACGTTTTTTTTACAAATGAAAACTTATTTCATAAATGGAAGATTCATTAAAATTACGTGTTGCTTAAGAGATGTGGGGTTGTAATCATTTCAAGATGATAATAGAATCACCGTGGCTTGAACAAATTTAAAAATTTACTTTCACCTCAAAATTTTTATTTATTATAAATTCAGACGTTTAAATCCTAAAATATCGTACTTCGACGCATTATTATTACGTACTTAATTATCTATCCTGTGACTTTTATTAAATATCCTTACTATTTCCTTATCGATCCATAAAAGATCTTATTCAAATGATATTTTTTACCACTTTATCTGCGAGTTGTAAGATATTTTGACGTTCGTGGATAGATTATTTATTATCACGTTAATTAACGTAAATAATAAATAATCGTGTAGAATGCAATTTGTCGGAATATTTACCGACTCGCAAACGAGGTATTAAGAGCCTGGTCGAGAAATTGCTTTCTCTCCCTCTCCATGAAAAAGAAAAAAAACACTTTCCGCGTCGGAAAGTTTCAAGCCTCTCCTCGATAAATATCGAACGACGTCACCTAGGTAAGCACACAATTTCTAATCTCTCTGATCTCCCCGTTCAGAAACTTCGACTCGGTCTCATTCTATCTCTCTGCGACCTCGGTCTTCGACCCGGACCTCGCAGCCCCAGTTTCGTCCCTCACTGGCGATCTATTTCTCTGTCTGTTCGCAGAACGAAGAGCAACCAACGATGGATGAAGCTACGGACAACGGTGCAACTCTCGTCGGCGATCTCAACGATCCAGAAGAAGCCGCCGTTGAAACGCGAGGACTCGTTCCTCAAGCGATTTTCCACCAGACAGATACCGGAGAGCCAGGAGACGTTGGACACGGGCGAGGGCGAAGGTGACGCCGCCGACGACAAGGATTCGAGCGGCCGTCGCCGACGACGACCGAGGAGGCCGCAGAAACCACCCAAGACCGTGGTGAATCCAGACGAGAACTTTTACTACTACTGGTTGATGTTGCTGTCCGGCTGCGTGCTGTACAATCTGTGGACGTTGATCGTGAGGCAAAGCCTGCCGGAGCTGCAGGCGGTGGCGCCGGCCGCTTGGCTCGCCTGCGACGGTTTCACGGACCTAGTGTTCTTTCTGGACGTGGCGGTGCAGTTTCGTACCGGCTACCTCGAGCAAGGACTGATGGTGTACAACAGCAAGAAACTGGCCGGTCATTATCTCAAGTCCAAGTCGTTCGTGTTGGACTTGCTGGCGCTGCTGCCGCTCGATCTCCTCCAAGTGAACCTCGGTAGCAATCCGATGCTCAGGTTCCCGAGGTTCCTCAAGATCTACCGCGTGTACAATTACTACTACATGGTCGAGTCGCGGACGGTTTATCCGAACCTGTGGCGTGTGCTGAATCTGATACATATATTGCTGATACTGGCTCACTGGTTCGGCTGCTTTTACTACTTGCTCAGCGAAGCGGAGGGATTCCAAGGTGAATGGGTCTACCCGTACAGGCCAGGAGCGTACGCGACCTTGACCAGAAAGTATCTCGGTTCGCTGTACTGGTCCACCCTCACCCTCACCACGATCGGCGATCTACCCACCCCGGAGACCAACGCCGAGTGAGTGATATGTCTCTACGACTGTACACGCTCTTCCTTTGCTTTCATTCTTTTTTTCTTTTTTTTTTATTTTCTTTCTTTCTTTCTTCTTCTTCTTCTTCTTCTTCTTCTTCTTCTTCTTCTTCTTCTTCTTCTTCTTCTTCTTCTATCTTCTCCCATCTGTTTTCCTTTCACGTTTTCCTTTTCGTTTCTTTCGCGTTCCCTTCTTCGTTAGCCTTCTCTTCTCTTCTAGTTTTTATTCTTAGTTCTTTTGGCTCGTTCTCCGTAATACTTGTGTTCGTGTACCGATGTTCGTTTGCTCGCCGGTTAGACGGTGCTCGTTGAGTGTTTGGCACACACAGGGCGCGGCCACCTTTAACTAGATTTCACCCACCGACGCTTGAGACTTGAGAGAGAATGGAATGTCACCGCGTCGTTGATTTATATAGACTGCCGGTCTGATTTCCTAGATTGGCACGTTCGTGGTCTCTGGTGAAAAGGGAATGTAGGTTTTTCGAGAATGCGGGAACTCAGTCGATTCGAAGCTTAAAGGAAGCTTCGAATGCCAAGAGAATAACAATCCTGGGGGACCAGAGAGTATAATTTCTCTGTAAGCTTTCGTAAGAACGAACGAATTAGAACGTTCTACAAAATGAAAAATGACGGTAGTACTATATAATTATGTTAAAATATAATATTAATATAAACATTATTGTTATTATATTATAATATATAATAATATATAATATTATTGTTATTATATTATACTACCAGCTACGCAATTTTTATCCATCAACGATCATCATAGCTATCTCACTTGAATATAGTTATCGTAATTTATGAATGAAATCGATGTTGAACACTGGGGGACAGATTGAGTCAAGAGTAATAAATAAATGAAAAATAACTGCATATTCAGAAGCACAAAGTAAAGTGTTTCTTTTTGCAAAAGTATGACGTCAATATCTCTTTCCTATTGATTCCAAGAACAATTTATTAAGAATAAGTTATTAGTACTTTTATTTATAAAGACAATTGTCGTAACTTGCACGTGAAATCATTATATAAATTAAACTTATTTAAAAGAAAACTAGATATTAATAAATACGACAAACATTTAATTTCTAAATATATATTTATTTTTTTTATTTCACAAAAAATAATATATATATATATATATATAGATCATTCACTTTCGAAATAATTAAAATTAATTAATTAACCCTGATACAAAAGGTACAAAATAAATTTTACTTATTTATTTTGTAAAAATTCATTTTCGTTGCTTTAAACTATTAATAATATTATTAATTTTTAATTATTAGTGAAATATATTTTTATTATAAAACTTTATTTAATTATATTAATTTTAAATTTTATATATATGTATATTTTAAAAATATCAAAATTAATATTGATATCAATATTAATAATTAAGGACGGGTAAAATTTGATTGAAGACTGAAACGTTTAGGTAAGATTAAATCAAAGACATTTACGTAAATGCACAAAGAAATATTCGTTTCCACGTAATATGAAGCAATACCTCCTTTAAATTAGTGTCTCGCTGTGAATCATTCAAATTACATCAAGTTACATCGTTGGAAATTCCAGTTTTATAGACGAGGATAAACAAGCACATCCATTATTCAACCACTTCTCTGTATAAAACTTTATTTTTCAAGTCAGCATATTTATAAAGAAAGAAAAATAAACGGCAGAGAAACAAAAACCCTCGATATAGAAAATAACGTCTAAATTTATTTGTTAAATCAACTACTGTTCTATCCATTCAAAAATTCGTTTCTTATCATATAACCTTGAACTTCTCGTCGTAAGGACAAATGATAATTGATAATGCGTACCGCTAATAAAATAAACATTGAACAACTCCAGTCGATAATCGACGATGGTCACATATGGTCATTTGGATGAATATCTTTTCTGACTTCAATGGAATATCCAACGAAATAGGCAGCAATCGTTCGACACTTTTTTAAAATACATTTCCTCTGGCTCGGAAGTAAGCCTCTTTAGAATCGTGCAAAGGCAAACATGCTCGAATAAGCTCAAATAATCGGATAAAACTGATGAATATGGAAAAGTAAATTCAGCTGCCTAGACTCTTTTTTTTCTTCTCTCTCTCTCTCTCTCTCTCTCTCTCTCTCTCTCTCTCTTTCTCTCTCTCTCTCTGTTTATTTTCCTATTTTCGATCGAAATTGCTTTGCCGATAAATTCGACAACTAGAAGACGGTCTAATAATGTCACGTGCCCGAATTTTCCAATAATTAGCCTCGAACGTTTCGGTTTAAAGAAGTAATAGAGGGTGTAAAACAGGGTGAAAAAGGAAATAGAGGAAAACGAGAAATCAAATTAGCTACGACTAATTTGATTGAATAAAGATGATAGCGCCAGATGTTCCATTTGCATTTCTGTTTAGAAATAACAGAATTCGAAGACTGTGCAATGCGAAGTTGAAGAAAGTCGAATGAGAGAAATATCGTTAGGCCAACAAAGAAAGAATTTGTACTTTGAATGATTGAATGTAAGAGATTCTGCTATTTGATTATTGTGTCAATTGTTTCTGAAAGGAATATTTCTACGTTGTGATGAATTTTTTTGATACACAATGAAAGGTGTATAGTAGACTTTTAAACGAGACAATTGGGATACAAAGAATAAATATTTCTTGATACTATTACTGAATAATATTGAAAATATTAGCAGATACTAATCTATTAATATCAATAACAAGCGGAAATTATTAATAAAGTTGCTGTTACTTGGTGAACTTGAAAGCATCTAAAGAATCGACTTGATTTTGTGTAATATTAAAATAATACGAAGTCATTTTATTACTTCAAATGTAAAGCACTAGAGATACAGAAAGATATCATAATATAAATTTATATTTATTATTTATTTAAAAATTTATATAAATTTAAATTTATTATTAATATAATATAATATAAATTTTACAAATATGAAATCTCTATATCTCTATAATAGTTAATATTGTTGAAACGAATTGAGCAAATGTTTTATCAATTAACTTCATTCCCTTTTTTTCTAAAAATTACAAAAGTTTAAATTACATATACTATACACTTACTGGCAAAACTTAAGAAACAGCTTAATTATACATAAGAATTTTGTTTTACAAATGTGTAAGTAATCCATGTATGTGTTAAAGTGCAAGAAAAATATATTTATTCCATATATTTACAACAATGCATAAATATAATTCTAAGTCGATTTTTATTTGTTAATACAAATGTAAGAAATGATGGAAAACATTATGTATCTTATATGTTCAACGATTTTAAGTATTCTTTTAAAGTAATTAAAACACTTCTTATGGTACAAAGTATTAAATCTATATCTAGACTTGTAAAATTACAAAATACTTATAAAATTACATAAAATATCATTTGATAGTTCTTTGTTTCGTCAATAAAATAAAATTAATAGAGAAAAGAAATTAATGGAAAAATGATGTAATATACTGATTGAGTTTTCTGTTAGTTTAATGGATTTAATGGCTCGTAAATGTTATGCGGTTATGAAAATCTAAGGATCTTTTTAAAGATTTTATTAAAACTCCACGAAAATAATGAACAATTATATGTTACTATTTTTGTTAAAAATGAAAATTAAACACGACGTGTTTCTTAATTTTTGTCATAAAGATTTTGTTTCGATATTAATTGTGATCTTTATAAAAATAGATTTAAAAAAATTGTAACATTCGTACATTAACAAAATATAATAATTATATTCCGTTAATGTATGATACCTCATCACAATATTTTTATTTCCAATTTATCTTTTTACGTTATATTTATTTCAAGTTTAAAAATGAACAATAGTTTTTGATGAGGAATATGTTGTTTCTTAATTTTCGTCATTAAGTGTACACCCTCGCTTAGAAATCTACAAATACTATATCTGTGTAACAAAAATAGTACGATATAAATTATATGCAATAAATATAGTATTTACAATAAATACAATACATACATACAATTGAATACGATAAATATAAAAATATATTTTACACAATAAAAACTCTGTTAATATATAAATATATTGTTTTACATATTGTATTGTATATTGTACTATTATAAGACATATATTATTTTAAAATATGCATAGAAGTTAATCCACAATAAGTACTGAATACCAAAAATAAAAGTCCTAAGAATTTTAAGCAGGAGTGTATATTACAAAAATATGAACATTTTTTTCTTTTTAAGATGCACGATCGTTATCTGAATGTTAAACTGAGTTAAAGTCCTCATTTCGTGTAGAGGAGGTGAACATTTAAAGTCAACCCAATTGACACCTTAACCGTGAGAGGTTAAGATGCACTGCTACTTGAAACACGTGACATAATAGGGTTTTCTACGAAGTTGCTGATAACTCGAGGTTACATACGCTTGTGTGTTGCCTTTTGTCGCATGATACACTATTTGCTCTTAAAATACTCTCAGGATCCCTCAAAGTGTCCTCACGATCCATTGCTACGAAATCTTACAAGTAAAAATTCAAGCGTAGTGATAGCATTAACGAGAAATTCGTGAATATGCAAGCCTCTGTGATATAAGCATTCTTATACATTTCTATGGCTTCTCTACATGGCAGTTTCTTTAAATGTCGATGCATTAGAAATAAATGGTGCGCGAGAATAAACTCAATGCTTGCATGTGTAATTAATCAATATGAATCGTTAAGAAATTTCAAAGAATTTTAAGTAACACTCATGTGATGAGAGTTCAATCAGATGTTTCATTGTTGAACAAATTTTAAATTGTAAATAAAAAATACTGCATAAATTATAGGTACAGTTTATTTTTTTTTTTTTTTTTTTTTTTTGTTAGTACTTCATCAGACAATTTTATACGATTGAACGTGTCTGCAAGAATAAAAATTAAGCATAACTCTTTTCCTTTTGATTAAAAAAACATAAACTTGGGTTAATTAACTTTTATTTGTAGAAAATCCTAAACGAAATGATATGG